CATTCCCTACCTTTCTCCACTTTCTCCCAATTCCAAATGTGGGAATCACCCTTAAAATGATGTAATTGCACTACCCTTCCTGAAAAGAAAATTAATAATGAAATGAAACGGTGCAAAATACACATTATGGAGTGAACAGTTGTTTCCGAAATAGTTAGGGGAACAAACAGCACTTTATCCATTAGATGAGACAACACGTCCACATAAGGGCAAATATTATTTTAAACGAAACAAAGATAGAATTAAGCACTTTCTGAATCTAGGCAAACATATCCCCATCAGGAAAAGACCTTAGCAAGCATTTCAGTTTGCATGTTGCTATATATTGGCCTCCCAATCTACATGGTCCGATGCAAACTTATCAAGGCAGCAACTCAGCGAGGGAGAGGTGGAAATCCCAGCCCGATGAGCTGAGCTTGGAGAGGCAGCATATGGTATTTAATGTGCAGATCTTCCAAAACTGTCTTCAACTCTAAGATTAGATCAGATCGTCGGGCATTTCTCTTTGTATAGTTTTGAAAGTTCATTTTGTGAGTGAAATAGAAAACCATTTTCATTTTGTTCACATCATCAAAGTCTTTAACCACCACACTATGTTCAGGTTGCCACAACTCAGAGTTCTCCTTCAAATACCTGAAATTCAAGGGAGAAAATCATCCAACAGAGAGTACATAACAAGAAATGGGGGAACAGAGAAAGTAAGGATTCACATACATTTCAATTCTTTCTTTAAGAGCCTTAATTTGGTCTACTGTTGTGGAAATATCGACAGCAAACTCTATAGAATCACCCATGTCAGGACTCCTGTAGAAGTTGCCAATTGGTTTGGTAGCCAAAACAGCATTTGGATAGTATATTTTCTCATTGTCATATTTCAGAAAAACAGTTGTCAGAAGATTCATCTCTTCAACAATCATCTGTAAAGAATTAATATGTCAAGCTAGATAATCTTCAAGTAATATAGAGAAACACGAGCTATGAGATTTGAGATTTACCTGTACTCCATCAATGACACAACGATCATTGACATCAAAGGGGTGGACCACAAATACAAATATGATTGCTTCAAATACAGTCTTGAGAGTGTTGCCAAACATGAATACCACAAGCAGAAGCTGGGATGAAATGAAGAGAAGTACTTTGGTTGTTAAAACTCCCATTATAAGTAACCAAGCAATGATGGTCACAATAAGGATAACCCCAGAGGAAAGCCTGTTGAGCTCTTCTATTGCTGTCTTTGAGTCTTTCAGGGAACATGCCAATGCTTTGCGTTCATTGTAAACATTCAACTGCAAGCAAGGAAAAACTAATTAGAAAACTCCACCAAGGTATTGCCCTAGGATTGGATGGTGTTTTCGAACTTCACAATCACCATCTACAGAAGAGCAAAAATTATTCTACTTCTATTGCATCAAGATTGTCTACACTTTTGCAGGAATTTTGAAAGGAACATACTAATTAAGAGATGTATAGAAGCTTGTGCTTATGGAAGATGTAAAAGAAGAGCAATATATGATAAAGAACTTACAAGCCATTCCCTTAAAGCCTTTTTCTTTATCTCTCCACCCTCTGATTCTCCTTTAAGTAGTAAGAAAACATCTTCAACTTCCTCCTTATCAAAGTAGGGCTGGAGGTCCTCCTTTCTGATAAATTTCTCTGACATGTGGTGCCTAAATAATCAATCAAGCAAGGACAATTAGTCACACAATTCCAAAACAAACAAGCTATCGAGTCAAATAAAGGAATTGTAACCATCAAACTATAGACGCACACATATTTTTATATATTCTTACTCGATATCAGTTTGGTAAGTTCTGGACACTTTCTTGAAAATTCTGTTAGCAGCTTTCCTCGCTTCCTCCTCACTTGTGATTTTCTTATCTTTCTGCTCATCTTCATCTGCAACAATAGACAACTTGGAGGTACTTATGACATCAACAAACTCTTTCATGGTCCAAGCTGAGGTTTTCTCCTGCTTCATTTTCCTTAGCCACTTAATCAGCTCCTCTCTTTTACCTTTCTTTTTCCTCCTTAACTCAGAAAACATCTGGGAAATGCTTGTACTTGTACCACTATTATCTCTAGATGGAGACCCAGAGAGAACCTCAACAACATGTTGATGAAAGATTGCTTCTTTAATCCTATCGAAGAATCTTTTACACTGATAATGAGCAGCTACTGTCTTGACAAACAGAGTTTTCAACAACCATAAAAATACCCCGAGAAGACAAGAAGCAAGACCCCTGGTAATGTCATTCAGAATATCTGAGGTTTCCTTTGGTCTCTTAACTCCACGTTTAACCAACAATATCCAAGCCACAAGAACCAAACACAACCACAAGAAAAATCTAACACTTTTCCTAACCCCAAAAACAAAATACAAAACCTTTTCATTTCGCACATACTTCCTTCTAATCAAGAACACTACAACATTCATCGCCCATCTAGTTAAAAGCCTACCACAAAAAATAACCAAAACCAGCACACACCATTTCCATAGTTCTAATCCCCAAATTAAATCATTATCAAACTTGTGCACAGTTAAACTAACAATCAAGCACCCCACAAAGCAAACAAATACAACCCACTCAACTATCATTGAAAATGTCCACTTACCCAATATCTTCTTTGTTTCAACATTGGTACTTTCATCATCAGCATCATCATCTGCATCATCATCCCCTACTTTTTTCGGAGTCCCTCTAGGAGTGCTGACTTTCTTGCTTCCAGTTCTCGTGCTTGAATCCCGCTCTATCATTCTCGATTTTGACTTTGAAAGGAAAGACCTTGGCAGGGCCTTTCTTGGGGTTTTGGGAGGTTTATCTAGCTTTGGACTGACAACCGCTTTAGAAGTAGAAGAAATTGGCAAAGTGGGGACTGGGCCGCCTCTGTTTCTGAGATTCTCAGGCTGTGCTAACTCCAGATTCCTTTGAGAAGAACCCACTAGGATGTTCACTGAAAAGGAATGAGAGGATGATTGTGTCATTGAAGAAAGAACTTTAGCATTTTCCCTTTCCTTCCTCAAAACTTCTTCTTCTATTTTTAACATGGGCAGCACCACATGATTTGCTCTGTTTACTTTTCCAGATTCCATGAAAGGAAAACAGAAATTCTTCTACTTTCTAGGGAAACAAACAGATTCAAAAACTACAAATGGGTTTTGCAGAATGAAGGGTAGAGGAAAAACAAAGGAAATTGAAAATTAGTACAGAAAACTGTAGAACGGAAACCAATGTGAGAAAGGACGGTGAAATGAGGAAAGCATCCAAAGGTTTGTACGTGGTTTGTGTCAGAGGGTGCTCAGTGCCATAGCTAGCTAGTAATCATGAATCACCTTTTGCATAAACCTGAACATTAGCTCACGGGGATTTAAAGAAAACGTAAATGTCATTTTCAGTCCAGTTCTGCTTGCATTTTGGGTTCTTACAATGTTTCGTATTTATAAGGAATATATTGATGCTTTAATGACTCCTTGATAAAGGATTTTTTATATAAAATAAAAATTAACTTTAAATTTATTAATTATTTAATTAAAATTATATATGTTATATAACACTAATGTAAAAAAAAATATAATTTATTAATTTATAAAATAAAGGATATTTAATAAAAAAATATTTAATATTAAAATATTAACCATCTATAATATAATTATCAATTAATTCAAAATTAAATCACATTAAACTTTATTAAAAAAATTCTTTCAACATTTTTTTTATTAACAAGAATAAAATTTAAAATTTTATTTCAAAATTTAATTAAATTTTTTCTAATTTTTTTTTTTTTGGATTTCCCACTCGGTATTTGGAGTTTCGCTCCGAATAATCCGATCCAACCCGCGTCGCGAACTTAGAAATGGTGGGTAAGTTTCCCAACGGGGGCTGCTGCGTATACAAAATCTCGAACTCAAAACCTTATTTAAACTGAAACAAACCGTTTACCATTTAATCCAACCTCTCATAGGTAAATTTTTTTCTAATTGAAGTAACGAAATCAATTATCAACTATTTATTTAGTACTTTAGTAAAAATTACTATAAGCCATGTGGCGGTGCAATTTCTCATTCTTATATTTGCAAGACAAGTTGGTCAGTGTGAAAGCATTGTCTACCTAATACGTCCAAGGGTCCTCTACGTGACCACGTCCCCAGCTCAGGTGCGCACAACATCAACGGAGACAAGAGTTCGAACCCCAGTCATCCCTCCCACCTCCCCCTTCTCCCATAATTGCCCAATCTAACTAAAGGGTTAAAACAAAAAAAAAAGGGGGGGAAGGATCCGCCATTAGCATCCAAGGCCAAGAGCAATTGATCAAATACTTTGCTTTAGGACACAAGATATACTATAAGAACATTATTTCGTTAATTACATATCAACATAAATCAAATTGCAAATTACTACAAATGAGAATTTTAATTGCTGATTAGAAAAAAGAGAATATTACTAATCTGTGCACGTGTTTTATGGAATCTTTGAGTCAAACCTGGAGGGCTGGAGGAATCCAGCCTTGTCCCGAAAAGGAGCCAGTAGTTGTGGGGCCCCACGTGTTTTTCTGCACGTGAAATGACTTCGAAGATAGCGCTTTTTATTAAAAAGGAAAAGGATTTTTAGTTGAACAGTTTTTTTAATTTAACGAAAATTATTTTATACAAAAATTTTATACATTGTATTTATATAAAATTTTAATTTTTAATTTTTATATTTTTAATAATTAAATTTTATTTATATTTATTAA